GAAAATATATATTTAGTTAGCTTATAGTCATGAAGAGATTTATATATGGATCCCAGTAGAATCGCATAGTTAGAAGATATTTTGTAAAATAATTGATGAAAATTTAGTTAGATATTGTACTTAAGAATTGGAATATACGTAGGTTAGTTAGATGTCAAAAGTTTTGCTTTACATTAAAAAATCTAATTAAAGTATTACGTAAAAGACTACAATTTTTAAAACGTAAATAATAATTATTCAATTAAAAAATTTATCGATTTAGTTAGTCTAAGCCATGTCATCTTTTTCAAAGACATGTCATCATTTTAAGCCAATCAAATTATAACATCTAAGAAGATTAAATAATAGTACTTGTATTTTAATAGGAAGGGGATATGTTTGGAAACAAAACTAAACTGTGATATCTTAATAGAATATTTCATTTGAAAATTACAAAACCAAGAAAACTACTTAAAATTTTCGGAAACAAATTAAAACCGACAAAACACAAATAAAATAAGAGAAATTTCAAAAAATGCTATTTTTCAAGTGCCATTTTACAAAAATGTCATTTTTTCAAAATTATTTTTTCTTTATATCATTTATATTTGGGTTAATTATGTTCTATTTTGGTTTAGTTATGAGGGTTTAAGGGGTTTTAGGGGTCAAAACATTTTTTAGAGTTTAGAATTTTAAGATATATGCTTTATAAATCTATAATTAATGGCATTTTTGCAAATGAACATCTCTAAGTGGTATTTTTACAAATGTACACACAAAAATGATATTTTTGTAATTTCCCCATAAAACAACGCTCTAGAAAAGGAAAGCAAACAAAACTACTAAGACAAACAAATTTAAATACCATAAGGTATCGAAACTCGTATACAAGAAAAACCAAAAGCCAAGTTAAACCCGATACTAGGTTAACACGTCAAAACCTACAAACTTACTAAGCTTTCGGGGATCTTTGGAGAAGGACATACAAGAACATACTTAAGAAGACAAAGACCAACAATTTGTCAAAAAAAAGTCCTCCTACAGAAAATAAAGTCTATTTCAAAATGGATTTTTGAAGAATTAGATGAAAAAGCTATCGTTTCATATCACACTAAAAATTATGTATTATTTTATAAAAAGAAAATGTATTAGACAGTGTTCGGATCAGATTTTGGGGTTTCCAGACAAATCGTGTCTTCTGTGTTGACAATGGCGACCATTGAAAATAGTGTCAAATCCCAAATTTTTCTTATTAAAACTCATCGGTTAAACTTCGAAACGTATTGTTTAGCATATGTTGTTTGATAATAGTACTACTTCTCTGATGAAAACAAAACATTACTCCATTTATTTCAAAATATAAGATATTTAATTTTTTTTTTTAAAATATAAAATGTTTTGATAGTTCTATGTACGTTTTAACTTTATTGAATAATATATGACCACTAGTATTTTGCAGTATGTTTTATAATTAGTTTAATTATTTTTATTATATATATTAAATGATACTTTTTAAAAATTCTATTTTTTTTAAATTTCGTGTTTTTAGCCAAAACATCTTATATTTCGAAACAAACATCTTATATTTCGAAACAGAGATAATATTATTTAGTGATTCAATTATTTCTTTCCAACTGCATATTTAAATTAAATTTTTTTTTTATATAGCGTAGTGGGCTTAAAATAGGTTACAAATAGAAATGGGTCATGTAGTAACAAATTTTAAAACAAGTGGCCCAATTTTATCTGATTGCATACAATGGCGTCTTTCTTCTCCTTTCTAGAAAACCTTCTCCACCTTCACACGCGGCTTCTCCTACTTTGCTTCGTACCTTTGCTCCCTGCTGTCTCCGAATCTGTCTTGTTGATTTTTTTTCTTCCTACTTGAGTTCTATCTTGTCTCTTGAATGCTTCTCTAGATGTACCTCGTAATTCCATGTTTCTTCTGTACACGGTATGTTAGGCTCACCACCTGTTCGACGATATGCCTCAAAGAAACTATACCTCTCTTCTACTCTGATTTCTCAGACGGAGAAGCGAGATTGGTTGAGTTTTCTCTTTCATGGATCGTACTAATAGTGAAACAATAATCAAAACTCATTCTTTTCGCTATACTCTACTGAATTGCGACGGTAGACGTTGCCATTATATGCCCGGTTACTGTATATGCCGCCTTCTCCTTCCCGAGGTCTCACTATAACCAAAATTCGCAAGTTTATTCCCCAATCGTGGAAACAGACGCCACCGAGACCAATCCCAGAAACCCACTATGAATCAGTTCCTGATGCTCTTTTCAAATCATTCGGACATTTCATCGACTATGGTCATTTGTATGAAGCTTTCAGAGCTTTCTCTCTCCTTCTTCACCAGTCTGGTTCTCATGAATACGTTTTGCAATCAGCGGCTTCTCTTTTATCGACTTGCGTTGAGTTTAATGATTTTGTTCCAGGGCAGCAAATTCACGCTCATTGCATATCTTCTGGTTTGGAGTTTGACCCTGTTTTGGTACCAAAGCTGGTTACTTTCTACTCTGCCTTTAATCTTCTTGAGGAAGCTCAGATCATTACTGAGAGCTCTGACATTTTGCATCCTTTGCCCTGGAAAGTGCTCATCGATTCTTATGTTAGGAACAAACGGTTTGAGGAGGCGGTTTCTGCTTACAAGCGAATGGTGAGTAAAGGAATTCGACCGGATGGTTTTACTTACCCTTCGGTTCTTAAGGCATGTGGAGCATTACTGGATTATGCATCTGGAAGAGTGGTTCATGGCTCCATTGAGGTTAGCTCTCAGAGGGGAAGCTTGTATGTCTGCAATGCGTTGATATCGATGTATAAAAGATTTGGTAAAGTAGATATTGCTCGGAAATTGTTTGACAGGATGTCTGCGAGGGATGCTGTCTCGTGGAATGCAGTAATTACCTGTTATGCTTCTCAAGGCAATTTGGAGGAAGCTCATAAGCTTTTTTACAGAATGGATCTCTCTGGTGTAGAAGCGACTGTTGTAACTTGGAACACATTAGCTGGAGGTTATTTGCAGATAGGAAGTTACGTAGAGGCTTTGAATGTTGTCGCTAAGATGAGAAATGGCAATGTAAGTTTAGATTCTGTAGCTTTGATTAATGGTTTAAAGGCATGCTCACACATTGGAGCGATAGAAAGGGGAAAAGAATTTCATTGCCTTGCAATCCGTTGTTGTTACCATCGAATTGACAATGTTCGAAATTCGTTGATCACAATGTATTCAAGATGTGACGATCTTAGGCACGCCTTGAAAGTGTTTCAGCAGATTGAAGCAAATAGTTTGAGTACATGGAATTCTATTATTTCCGGTTATGCACACAACGAGAGATCAAAAGAAACCTTTTCCCTGCTCAAGGACATGTTGCTTGCTGGCTTTGACCCAAATTACGTTACGCTTGCAAGCATTCTCGCACTTTGTGCTAAGGTGGCAAACCTGAAACATGGGAAAGAGTTTCACTGCTACATCCTGAGGCGTCAAAGCTTCAAGGACTGTTTAATCCTGTGGAACTCCCTTGTTGATATGTATGCAAAATCCGGGAAAATCGTAGCTGCCAAGCAGGTATGTGATTCGATGAGCAATAGGGACATAGTGACATACACTTCCTTGATAGATGCATATGGCATGCTGGGTAAAGGAGAAATCGCCTTGGCTTGGTTCAACAATATGATAAGATCCGGTATCAAACCCGATCATGTAACTATGGTTGCAGTTTTATCAGCTTGCAGCCATTCCAATTTACTGCGTAAAGGACAAAACCTGTTTAACAAGATGCAGGGTGTGTTTGGTATACACCCTCGCCTCGAACACTTTTCTTGTATGGTTGATCTTTATTGCAGAGCAGGTGACCTGGCTACAGCCAGAGATATAATCGGCAGAATCAGTTATGAGCCATCTAGTGCAATGTGTGCTACTCTTGTAATAGCCTGCCTCGCCCGCGGGAACAAAGACATTGGTGAATGGGCTGCTGATAAGCTGGTACTGGAAATGAAGTCAAAGAAGTTGGATCACTATGTATTGATTAGAGATATGTATAAATCTAGTGGTTCTTGGAAAAAGCTTGCAAAGGTGAAGAAGATTTTGATGAGTTTACAAAAGGATCGTCATGAGTTTGCTTTCTTGGAAACAAGTAAGTCAGATGGATTGAATAAGGCAATGATTGGATCTTCTTCTTCCATCAATCAGGAGGAAGAAGAACATCTTGTACAAGTAGGATAAAGATTATTTGAACTTGAGCTTAAATTTGTTTATTGTACATAATTTTATTCAATCAAGTCCCAGTTTGATTCTCTTGCTCCATATTTATAAGCAAAAAGATGAAAATAATAATTGAGCCCAGTAAAAGCCCATTAGGTATTTGGCCCATTATCATTGATTGTTTTTAACTTTTAAGAGAGTTGGTCGTGTCTCACAGAAACCCTAAAGCGAGAGAGAGTTGCGTCCTCAATTTCTATTGTTGGTTCGTGTTCGTCGTCTTCTCCTTCTCTCTGCGAAAATGGCGTCGTTTGATGAAGCACCACCGGGAAACTCCAAGGCCGGTGAGAAGATCTTCAGGACCAAGTGTGCTCAGTGTCACACCGTCGACAAAGGCGCCGGTCACAAACAAGGTCCATCTCTCATCTCTTCTTCTTCTTCTCTTGTGGTGGATCCGAGTTTAATAATCTCGCTTTTCGAACCGATTTAGTTGTTCGCGAACCCCTAATTATCAAATGATCATAGATCCGATCCGATGAGACGATGACGAATTTCTTGGTCTGCTTTCCGTTTTCTCTATGGTTTATATGCAATTTTTTGGGGCCGTTTTATGGAACGTGATTTCAAGAGTTGATCTTGCGTGTTACTGTTCATGATTCTCGATGATTGCTTGTGAAGAAGCTTACGGTTTTT